CACTAGTCAGTCAGATCATCAGATTCAGAGGCCATCAATAGCACAGATTCGTCATCAGAACTTCTGGCTATATTTGCTTCTTCTGATTTCTTCTCCTTGTTTGACCAACAATCTCTAGCAAAGTGACCAAACTTCTTACAACAGTAACATTGGATCTTCTTCTTGTCATACTTCTCTTTTCCCTTCTGAGCATTCTTTTGTCTGTCAGAGGTTGAGGTTTCTGACTTCTGACCACCATCAGATCTTCTCTTGGCTTCTGACTGCTTTTGATACCTCCTATCAGAAGTTGCTTTCAGAGCCTGCTGCTCTACTTCCCTTTCAGAAGTTCTCTCAGTCAAACGCAACTCTTGCGCTTCTAAACTGCTCTGCAGCTCTTCAATTCTCATTGTGCTCAGATCTTTGGAATGTTCTATTGCTACCACAATGTAATCAAATTGAGGAGTAAGGGATCTCAATACTTTCTCCATGATTGTTTCTTCAGAAAGAGTTTCTCCACATGCCTTCATCTCATTAGTGATCAGAATCACTCTGGAGATGTATTCAGAAACTTTCTCATTATTCTTCATGTTGAGATTCTCATATTGCTTTCTCAAGGACTGAAGCTTCACCTTCTTCACTGATGCGTCACCACCATAACATCTCACCAGAGTGTCCCATGCAGCCTTTGCTGTTGTAGAGTCTGCAATCTTCTCAAACACGTTTACATCCACACATTGATGAATGAAGAACAATGCTTTCTGATCCTTCTTCCTTACTTCCTTCTGCGCGTTTTTCTGTTCATCGGTTGCATCTGCTGCTACTGGAACATAACCATCAGTGACAAGATCTAGAACATCTTGAGCACCAAATAGTACACGCATTTGGATCATCCAACGATTCCAGTTTTTACCATCAAATACTGGAAGTTTGGTGTTCATGTTGTCGTTTCCGTTCATCTTCTACTTTGCACAATACACTCAGATTTCTCACACAGTGTTTCCCAACCCACAGAATAAAATTCTGATCAGATTTTGTTCAAGATTCAACACGAATCTAAGAATCAAAATCAAACACACAAGACCTCACGTTCACTCGTGTTTCCCGTGTTTCCCAATGAATCTGAACCGGAGCTCTAGATACCAATTGTTGGTGCAAAGATAGAATAAATGATGAAAATAGGGAAATATTCTATTAAAGAGAATGACGACAGAAGAAACAGGATTAAGAGTTACAATGATTGTCACCCTATTTATAGGCTAAAACTAGGGTTACTAGAATAAGATAAAATACTAAAATACCCTCTAACAAACTTATGGGCTTAAGAAAATAATATAATAAAATATGAATTATTACTAATACAAGATACTCTCCTTAATTTTACTATTCACACTGGAAAAAAAAATACTTCTTTATATGTTTTTTATTCTCTTATATTTAGAGTAACACATCTAAGAGTTTTGTGGTATTTTCTTTTATAAAAAAAAGTTCCTTTGATCCTAGTGTAAGTTATATGGCCTTTTAATTAAATTCTATTGTTTTTATTTAATATGTTTGGTTTATTTTTCGGATATTTAGTGGGACTGAGTACGGCTTGATAAAATTGTTCATCATATTTTATCGAGCCGAGTTAAGCTAAAAAAAGTGACAATTTAGAGTTGAGTTTTGAGCTAAATTATTTCGTATTGAGTTAAAATTAATCAAGTCAACTTATTTTTCTAAGAATGACATTCAAGCTATTGTGTCCATTCAACACAATTTTTTGTGTGAAGAGATGATTAGTCGAAAAGGAAAGTGAGTTAGATCACTTGAGATGATGTGTCTTAGACCAAAAAATTAGGGGGGTTTGATGTAAAGCATTGCGCGAAGTTTAATATGTCAATATAGTAGATGGTACCACACGGGTTTCTAATATTGCGCGAAATTAGGGGGTATTTTAAATGAGGAAGACACCATTTGGTCAGATTTGTTAACACGCGGGTTTGTAAATCTAATTCATAAAATCATTGATCATAAAACTGTAAAGTCAAAGAGAAGTGAATCTTTGTGGTTAAGGGATTTAAAGATGGTGGGGAACTACAATAGAGATGATATGAATTGGTTTAACTATTCTGTGAGTGAAAAACATGGCAACAGAAAAAACAATCGAGTTCTGGAATCATTGTTGGATTGGAGCACAACCTTTGGATGTTTATTTTTCGAATTTGTTTAATGTGGTTGTGATTCAAAATATTCTTGTTTCTGACATGGGACACTTGATGAAAGGGTAATTGGTTTGGAAGCTTTTGTCTTATAACATTCTGAATCGGCAAGAAACTACTCAACTGCAGATGTTACGGTTGAATCTGTAGTCTATCAACTCGAATATGCAGAATTGGACAATAAGTTCATTTGGTGGAGCGATCCTCACGATTTATTTCCGCGTAGCGGTTACGAGAGGCTGAATTGTTTTGATGATGATTATTCAAATATTGATGTGAAAATTCTGAAGGGCCTCGCAGCGCTGTGGAAAACAAAAGTCCCCAGCAAAATTCATTTATTTTGGTGGAGATTACTCTTAAATAGCTGTCGACGAGATCACAATTGGCAAAATACGACATTATTTAAGGTACTTCTAATATTCTTTACCTCTTCTATCATGAGGTTAAAGAAAATTGCCGACCATTTATTTATCCACTGTTTTGTGGTTTGTGATGTTTGGAGAAATATTTGTGTTTAGTTACAATTGGATTGGACTTTAAATTTTGATTCGACGGTGAAATTCTATTGTATTTTAGAAGAAGTTTTATTGTATTTTTTAAGTTGCTGTTTGTTGGGTGATTTGGGTATCTTGAAACTCAATTTTGTTTGAGCAAGCCGAATTGAGAAATCTAAACTTAGTGACGTAGATCAAAAGTTTGGTTAGGGAATGCTTTTTGGCTAAGATGAAGGGTCAAATGGAATTATGTTGGTCGAATTGGTGTGTTGATAAGTGCTAAATTATATCGATTTTGAGTGTAAATAATTGGCACTTATTGGCTTAATTCAACCAATAAACCTCAACTTTTGTGCATATGTTGTATAGTTTACGTTATAATGTATATATTGCGTATCATGGAAATATGATTGAGTTTAACTGTTTTTATCTCATTTTTGTAGGTATATAAGCAATGATATTTTTTCATTGTCTTATAGAGCATTGAATAAGCTTTTAAACGCTTCCGACCGCGCGTAAAACAGAGTTAAGGTTTAAAAGTTATGGTTAAAACAAGTGTTGGTTTTGCTGTCATGTTTGCTAAGCGAACAAAAGTTCGCAGTGCGAACAGGAATTTCTAAAACGCGTGAAAAACACTGTTTTGGCAGTAGAAAATGAGGCATAGGTTCGTTGTGCGAACGAGACTTCGCTAGGAAAACAGTGGAACCTATTTTTGCCTATTTAAGTGATTTTTCAGTATTTTTTAGGTTATGTTGTTTGAAAACTTTTTACCCCAACTTCATCAAACACATTCTTGAGTAGATTTAGCTTAGAAACAACATTGGATGGTGCATCTTGACGATCCAGAGTCGAATCCACTTCAATCGGAGTTGACAGACCGTGAGATTTGTGTTCTTCTTCCTTCCTGTCTATGTATTTTTCATTTGTTGGGGTTTTGTATGTAAGTTTATCTTGATTGTATGTATATTTATGGATCTTTGTATAAAATCTCTTTTACAACTCTTTATCGATGATTATCTTGATTTAATTATTTAATGGGTTTGGATTGCTATAGACATATACGGTTTGAACTCGGTCTAAGATGAACATCTGTTAAATTCTAAACTCTAGACATAGATTTAGGACTAATATTCACGTGGGTATCGACTCTTAATGCTCTGTTTTGTCGAGTTGCGTGAGACATCACCGATGAGACGATACGGTTGTTCTCTCGACTTTGCGTTAGACATAACCACTGTTGTGAGCGATACGTGATGATATTGACGAGCGATTTAGGTTGCGTGCATTTGATCCATATTTTTTTATTACATGATGGATAGAACGAAATACAACTCATGACGAGTTTTCTCATTTCTTAAGAATGTATTTATTTTCTTGTTTTATGTTTTTCCTTTTGCATTTTTATTTCAAACCATTTAAACACAAGCTTAGAGACGTAGAGATTGTCGATATTTTTTCCCTCACACTGATCCATGTGGAGACAACATAAATCTCGGAGAAAACTCTTCCAAAAATAATATTTTTGCTTGCCGCTTTACCGCTTCAACATGTGTCAATTCAAACCTCAATACATTATATTTTTCAATTGTTTTTTATGTCAATTTTCTCTCTTTGTATGGACCGAGTACCCTCTGTGCTCCCTTTAATTCAATCTTTTACTTATTTGTATATATTGAAAACAAGAAGAAAAATGTCAATGTACAATAGAGATAAGATAAATTAGTGGTATCTTATATAACATCAATATCTATGAAAAAATGTGTTGGATAGATATTGATACTTATATTTACATTTAATTTATTGATGTTTTAGAATTATTATTATCAGTGTTCACGTATTAGTGTCAGTAGTGTTGTATTTATGTTATAGATATACACCACTAGAAAGAAAAAATCCAACCTTAAAGGAAAAATCATAAGAGAAAGACAGGTCCCAAGGTGGCTGGACCAACCAGGGAGAGTTAAAGCTACTAACCAACTCAAAATGGAAGCAGGAAGCAATCTCAACCTAGCTTTTGAGATATGAATCCTCTGTAGTGATTCATCGATCCTGCTGAATGTCGGTAAGTTATTTTAGCCTAACACATGCAGAAATTGATCGGAAAACGTGTCTCTATATATAATGAATGTGATAACAATATTTCTACACACAATAAAAGTGTGGAGGGGATACTGAAGAGTTGTTATGACGGTTGGAAGTTTTTATGACCAGTTTCTATCATGGGAAAATAGTAGTTGAAGTTGACGATTATATAATGAAGAAATTATTCATAAAAATATCAATAAGGGTAACAGTTACAGAAATCATCTAAAAGGCCAAAACTTACAAGATGATGAAAAGGGACATGCATTTTATTTACATTCTTTTCTTATTAACCCTATCTCCTTTAATTTGCGTGAATAGTAAGCATTTTGTGCTGGTTCATGGAGCATGCCATGGTGCATGGTGTTGGTTTAAGGTGGCAACTTTGCTTAAATCAGCTGGTCATCATGTTACGACTGTTGAATTGGCTGCTTCGGGTATCAATCCAATACAGGTTCAACAGATTCGTCAAATTTCAGAATATCATGAACCTTTGATGAAATATATGGAATCTCTACCATCAGAGGAGAAGGTGGTTCTTGTTGGTCATAGTCTTGCTGGATTGTCTTTGTCTGTTGCTATGGAAAAGTTTCCGCAGAAAATTTCAGTTGCGGTTTTTATGTCTGCATTTGTGCTTAGTCAAAACCTCACTTACCCTGCTATTCTTCAAGAGGTACTCTACAAAACTCACATCTAAAAAATTAATATAAAAGAAAAAAAAAACCTAATACAAACTTATCTTTATTATTTTGCAGCAAGCTAGAAGAAACCATTCTTTAATGGACACAAAGGATTTCTATTTTGATGGACCCAACAAACCTGCAACTGCTAGACTGTTTGGACCCAAATAATAATAATTAAATACTTCTGAAATGTTGGATTTTTCTATATTTATAGAAGAATTGATCTCTAACTAATCATGTGTGAAACGACGTGGATCATGGTGGAATGTTAGATTGATATGACGCTTGATAAGGATCATGAAGAGAGGTTTCATGCACATGTGGTTTATCCCTCGTGCAAGTTCATATATCGTGGGTCTTCGCTCGCTTTAGGCCTTGTGAACAGTCTTGAACAATATATTTTTGAATTTCGTTTGACATATTTTTATAGATAAAATGTTAAGCAAATGTCTTGTTTAACACATCTTGACTAAGTGATTTTCTGACACGTTATTTTTAAAAAGTTTTCATTTTAACTAATTTAATTTTACTTTTGATTTCAATATTTTTATTATAAGATTTAGTTCGGATATTCATTTAGATTATTCTCTAAAGTTGATTTGGAAAGGTCTTATTTGAAGAAAAAAATTATTTAACCAAATATTGCATGAAGAAACTTAATTTGATTTGAGTTTTCTTTAATTGTAAGATTTATTTTGTTGAATATTTAATTCAGTTTGATTTGAGTTTTTTTTGTATAAAGATGTTTCTATCTTTTTGAACACCGAAGCCTTTTGAAGAAGTTTAGATATTTTTCTTCCTTTTAAAATACTTTATACTAGAGAATATTTCTTAATTCGGAAAGATAGAGTATTTTTAGTTGTAATTGTGACTAGTTCCACAAATTTTTATATTTACTCTTACAAACACTTGAAAAAGTGGTTGAGTGAAAGTGACGAGATCTCATATTTAGAGGAGCTTTAGTTGAATTCACATGTAGTATCAAGAAACAAATATTGAACTGTTCAGATGAGATTGTGATGTACTACTGACAACATGAATTAGTGAATTTTCTTTCTATGTGCACTTTTCTCTAGATGTAGGTGACTTTTGCACTGAATTGGATTACAAATCATTTGTGTTCATTATTGTGCATTGTAACCCCCTAAATATTTCTCGCATAATTAAATAAAATTAGAGTAAAAATTTCACAAAACATATTTAAGATGCCATCATCTAACAAAACCTGCTCATATACATAATATGCAACACGTGACTTTTTAAATTATTTAACAACAATAACCATACTAAAAGATTATCAACACTTCAAATTTTATTTAAATAGTGGAAACATCAACATGATAATTATTCTGAGCGTAAGCATGGTTTTCATTTAAATAAAATAACCAAAGTTAAGAGATATCTAAATCTCAAGCAAACAACACATAATAAAGCCTAACGTTCCATAGCCACAAGCGGAAGACTCCATCTTCCACTCACATTTGAGCTTCTACTGTGGATTATCTGCATGTTACCCGGGTGGAGGCAACATTCAAATAGAAGGGATGAAATATCACAATTATATAAAGGAATGCATAATAATAAGTGAGTAACAAATTATTACAAGCACAACATACATTCCAACAATATTTGAATTAAAAGACAACTTAAACATATTATTCTTAAATGAACACAAATATCTTGATTTTTTCAAATAAAAAACCGAAATTAAATTTTATCTAAATGAAAGCACAACAAAAGTGTCTTTTAAATCCAAAAAAAAATTGGTACTCAATAATAATTTAAAATTCCTATAGCTTCCACTTTCATCGACTTGTCATCTCTAATATAGATGTATCTTTCAATATCATTTGACTTCAAATAGTTCAGACAACCTTATACTGAAACATTGATGTTAATAGTTGCACCCGAGTCTAATCATCAAGTGAGAGATATACATTTGTTTGCACGTCAAACCTAATATTTAAAACGTTTCTTTTTTACATGTCTATACGTTTTGCAAAAGAAACAATATCATACTATTTTTGTTTCTTTTATGGCATCAACTTATAATACAATTGACATGAAAAAGTGTAAAAATAAAAATAAGATAAAATGATGAATAAAATATAAATGACTTGCAACCTTCAACTTATGTGTACATGGAAGAAATTTGAGTAACCAATTTTAAAATGGATTTGTAGAAGTTTTTGAAGAATTGAGTTTAACTTTTGTAGAGACGACATCAATCTCAATTATGAGATGTTTTCATAGCACATAGAAATAAAAAGAGTAGAAATATTGTGGGTTTGGAGGTAAGAATAGTTTCTTTTAGATTAGATTAATTGATCAAGAATAAATAGATGTTCAAAAAAATATATTTGATCAAGTCTATTAACCAGTCAAGTAGAGATGAAATGATGCAATGTGCGTTTTGATAGATTAGCTAAGATTATCTTAGACGCGGCAAAATTTAAAATACATGACATAAAATTGATAAAATGACGACTATATAATTTGCAACTTTGTTTTTATATTACAGGATTGCTATGTTGATACTATTTTTTACACCCTACACCTAATTCACCGTTCACAAATACTTGAACAAATTCTTCAGAACATGGTTAATAGTGATTATTTTATTGGGTAATGAAGTAGTGAAAGTGGTTAATAAATTATAGGTAAAATAATTGGTTAATGATGTAGATTTTTGTGGTTAATGCAACTGTGAAATTGGCTTTGGTTAATGCGCAATCTTATATTTGTGTTATAAAATAAATTTTAAAAATAAATATTTTTTTAAAAAAAAATTAATATTTTAAAAAATATATTATTTTAATATAACAGTGCATACGGTGTAAGTATTAAATGTAAAAAAGGGTGTAAAAATAGCATTTTTGTTTATATTATTCATAAATAGAGTACAAATGATTTCATCTAGAATGTATCAAAACTTGTTTTTTTAACAAAACAAACACATTCTTAAACAAACTAATATTTTGAATTAAAGGAAATTTAATACAAAATATTAAGATACATTTGTATATAATTTATCTTAATAGTGTGTAATATTTTTAACACTGTCAAGATATCTCTTTCATAATACCATTGAGAGAATGGTTACTAACTTCATCCCTTGTTCGCCACTAGACGAATTAGATTCTTCCATCGTAATCACTTGATCTCTTGAGTTTCTTTCACAATCACTATAACAATAGCATTAGGATTAATTCAAAAAACAAATAGGAAAAGAGGGTTAAGGAATTGATCAGTACCTTGAATTAATTGGAAAAGAGGATTTAGGTTCATCATCAATCACAATCACATGATATTCCATGCTGTTTTCTCTATCAAAAACATTTAAGCTTTCTTAAATTGTAGAGAGATTAACAGAGAAAAAGAATAGCATACATGTTGTAAAAATAAATTATAGTAAAGAATGTAATACCTTGGATCAAAGGACATAGGTTTTTGATCTTCCATTTTTTTTCTTTTTGACAAGAATAGGGTAGAGATAGATCTGAAAACATAGAGGAATGAATTTAAAGGACTTGAAAACTAAAAACAACACGCAAAAATTGGAGAAGTTAGTTACTAATTAACGGGAGGAAGTTGCTCTCCGTTACGTGTTCATGGAACTGATTCAACTCATGGTGCTTTTTTTACTCACACATGGGTCAGTTAAAAAAATATTATAATGTGTATATTTATTTATTTTAAATATAAATAAATATCTTTTTTGAAAATCTTTTTTGAATTATAAAATCAACCCTTTTAAAAATAATGTTCATAGTCTCATGGATTACAACATTATTATTCACGAGTCTTTAGACTCTTTTGTAAAAGATTTACGGGAAACCTCGGCCAAGTTAACACACGTTTGTTTTCCTCCTATCCACAATACATCAAAATATTGGTTGATTTAGTGTAAATTTTCGGTCACGTGAGTCCGTCAAGAAATTCACATGCTTCCCTTTTTATTATATTTAGTCATGATTGTAGTTGTAAGTCCCTAATACATACATGAGAAGCACCTTGTTACGATTATTTTGTTGATTGTCTTATTGCTTTCATTTTTTATTTACTTTTGATTATTGAGTCTCCTTCATGATTTCACTTCTCATAATCAAATTTGAAAAGATTCATTTTTAGCATGCATAAACCATTGGTAAGGTTTGATCTTGATCATGATTTTTTTAGTCAATTGCATGAGTAAGTGCAATAAGAATCTTTTATGTTTTTTATTTGAGTTGGATACAAAGAAAAATCTCAAAGTGCTATTAAAACTATGAAAATTTGTGATTTTATGTGTTTGATTCGAATCATGGAAATCAAACACACTTTCTGATTCAAATCAAATTGGACAGAGGTAAACCAAGAATTTTCAAACCATTCGATTCGAATCATTTTTCACACATGATTCGCATCAATTTCTTACTGGTCACCTCTGCCTGATTTGATTCGAATCAAATATTACACATGATTCGAATCAAACAGTTTTTCAGCATTTTCCAGTTGGGCATGTTACATTTGATTCAGATTAAAATTTGCACATGATTTGAATCATGAGGTCTTTGATTCGAATCACACTTTCCTCTTGATTTGAATCAATTGAAAATTAGGCCAAAACTCTATTTTTCTTTTATTTCACTTCACTTGTTCATTTTATTCAAATCATGAATTGCTCTTGATTCGAATCTAAGTGAGTTTTTTAACGGTTTTCAGTGCTTAATCTAAAGCACATATAAAATCTCGTGTCATCATTTTCAAAAAAATAATATCATAATCAACATTGTGATTTTGTGAAAAATCAATTTCCTCTGTTTTGAAAGTTCAAAGTCCTGCAACAAAATTCTTGCATCTTCAACTTCAATTTGATTCAAATCTTGATAACGAGAGATTTATAATTGATTGAAGGAAACATGTTCTAAAAACTAATCATTCTTGAAGATTTGGTTGAGTTTTTCATGTTGTTTGCAAGATTTAAGTGATTTTGAATGGGGATGACAAATTCCATTGAAATGAGAATATTCTTCTCTTCAGAATTGCCTTAGTAGTGACTGTATGGACGGCTACGGATAAGGCAGAGTTCTTCTCAAATCTTCATACAATTCATCGCTCAAAGAATTGGTAGGATCAAGAGTTTGATTGCAACACATGAAGGCTTGAAGCAAATTGGTGACATTTGAAGATTCAAGAAACGTTAATCAAGTAAAGATTACGCGGAAGAGTTTTATATTGCACGACATACAAGTCAAAATCCATCTAGAAATGTTTAATTTTCTCAGCTGTATTATGGATTGGTGATTCTATGAACTCTTGAAAATATTTGTCAAATAAAAGGAACAATTCAGGTTCAAATGGATAACTATTGAAGGGTGCACATAGAAAAAGTGAGGATGGACGCCAAAGTACTATAAATCTCGGTGTCATCTCTCTCTCTCATTTAATTTCATTGTATCTGCATGCTTAGGCATTTCAATTCTAATGTATTTTATCATTGATTCAATTGATAGCGAATTATTACATATGCATTAGGTTTTGTTGGAATTGGATAACTTATTGAGTTGAATTGGTGATTAGAATTTTGATAAACAATTGACATTAGAACTCTTTACATTGAATCATTGTGTGAACACACCTCGTGGATTACACAATCGAATAAATTGAATAACTAGTATTTCATCATATTCATCTTCGATTTTTGTGAAGCGATCTAGTGTTAACATGGTCAAAATTTTGAATAGTATAATTTTCATATTTTTCGCATCAAACCTTTTGCTCGTAATTTTGAAAACATTATGATTAACTTTGTAAACGTCGGTTGAATTTTAATTGGGTCTATTCACCCTCCCCGCCCTTCTAGACTTTTTTCTACTCTCATCATATTCACACCTAACTATTAGTATAAAGAGTTGGTCTTTTGATTGTGTCAAACCGACATCCAAAAGTGAATAATATGGCGGAAGATGAGGGTCCTAAGGGAGCATATAATAGAGCACTTGTTTTTAAAGGTGAAAATTATATTTACTGGAAATTATATTTACTGGAAAGCGAACGTTAACACTTGTTATCAATTAACAATATTGAAGCTTTTTTTATATTATAAATATTATAATTTATTATTTTTTTTATTTTTTATTTATTTACAAAATATTAAAAATAACAAATTTTATTATTTTTTAATTATATATTTTTTTGAAAAATAAATAAATATTATATAAAAAAAAATCTTACAACTGAGGCGTCATATGATATGGTGACTCATTGTAGGGTAGGGCAAGAACCTTTTAACCCATACGCCATATAAAATGGCGATTCAGGTCTGAAAGACCTTGATCAACCATTTCATATGGCGACTCCTCTCGAAAACTTAGTAATTTTTGTAAATTTTTTAAAATTTAATTTTATTTAATATTTTATTTTAAAAACTATGTTATCTTTAAAAAAATCGATATTCAATTTTCTTCGTATTTTTAGTCTACTAATGAAAAAGACAAGTTTGGTTGAGAAATACATCATATGCTATATATCACCGCTAGGGCTGGAAATGAGTCGAGTCGAGTCGAACTCACCTCAGCTCGGCTCGACTCGTTAAGAATTGTTCGAATTCGAGTTCGAGTTCGAGTTCGACACGAACTTTTTTTTAAGCTCAAACTCGACTCGTTATAAGTTCACGAACAGTTCGGTTTGACTCGTTAGGTTCATCTCATTAGGTTCAGCTCACATGGTTCACGAACTTAAAAACTATTTTTTTAAATATATATATTTTTAGTATATTTGACATTTTAAATAAATATATACTTTTTAAATAAAATATTAAAATAAAATAAAAGTTATCATATTGATATTTAACTTTATCTTCGAAATCTACTAATTCAAAACCTACATAACTTTCAAGAGATGCATTTGAGAGTCTAATTCAAAAACTACTAAATTGAAGATTAAATTTGTCTAAGATTTGAAGTAAATATTTAAACCTAATCTTAAAGACAATATAATTCTTTTCATATGTAATCGAGTTGACTCATGAACCTAACGAGTCGAACTATGTATAGTTCAAGTTCAGCTCATTTAGTTAACGAACTTAATTTTTCGCTCATACTCAACTCATTTGGTTCATGAACCTAGTTCAACGATTTAATTGTCGAGTCGAATTCCGAACTATCTTCGAGTTGGTTTGGTTCATTGTCAGCCCTAATCACCGCTTAAATACAAACATAAATTCAAAATTACCGAGTGAATGACAATGACTAGAGATTGAAGTCTACTTCAAATTTTCTTCAACTTTTAATTATTTTAACGAGTAAGATTTGCCCCATATATTTATTATTTATTTACTGTTATAAATTTTGGAGATTCATGCAAATTGAAATTTTCGAGAACTTGCATTTTTTCTCTATAATTAATTGTTAAGTTATTCTCACATTATTCAAAGTTTCTTTTATATTTAGAATCTGTCATGACTATTCCGTTAAATCTTATTTCTTTCCTTTCTTTGTGTTACAACAAATTATAATCTCTTGACCCAAATACTTGTGATTATCTTTATTTAATTGAAATTAAGTAATAATAAGAAAAATTTTAAACATATTAAAATTATAAGTTTCGTATTTCTCATAGAATATCAACCTTTTAAGTTTGAGACAATAGTCTTAAGAGTAAAGGCCAAATAAAAACTTAAAAAAAATACTGTAAAAACTGTTTTTTAAATCACGTGAAAAAAATAGTAAAAAGCGTTGTTAATTTTTTAAGAATATTTTTTTCTCATCTAAAACACACTATTAAAATGAATGTTTTTGTTTGTCATTTTTAAAAATAGATTTATAAGGTTTTTAGAAAAAAAAATAAACATTCTTGTTTTTAGGAGTGTTTTTTTTATAAAAGTGCTCTTAAAGTGAATATATTTTTGTTGTAATTATTTTAACAAATTTTAAGTTTTTTGTTTTAGAAAAGCTCTAAATTCCTTTTAAAAAATAGAAAAAAAAAATAGAATTGAGTTAAAAAAAAAAACTCTGCGATGACACTAACTTGACCAAATTAAATGTACCAAAAAGATTTCATTCATTTCATTAATTATTTAATACCAATTTTTTTTTATTAACTATAAGTAAAAATACATTTAACATTTTTTCACTTTTTGACACTAACTAGACCGAATTAAACGTACCAAAATATTCCATTAATGGTATTATACTCATTTAATATTTATTTTTTGACCAGTCAAAATTTTTACTTTTTATGATAAATGACAAAAATAATTATATATAAATAGAAGATAAGAGAAGGAAGCATTGAACCCATGAATAGGGTAATGAAAAACACTAGCAGTGGAAAAGTGAGAAATATTTGATTGCAAAGAGTGAAGTTTTGAGAAGAGCATAATGGAAATAGTTGAGATGAGCACAATAATGAAAGTGTTGTTTGGAGGAATTTTGGTGATTTTGGTTCATATTTTGAATATTTTGGTGTTGAGGCCAAAA